CAGAGGGAGAAGCAGGCTCCCCGCTGAGCCGGGAGCCCGACGTGGGACTCGATCCCAGGACTCCAGGATCATGACCTGAGCCGAAGGCAGTCGCTTAACCAACTGAGCCACCCAGGCGCCCTCTCCCAAAATCTTTTTAAACTTAGATTTTCTGAAGCAGTCATGGTTTATATTGCACTTTGATATACTACTTTAATTCAATTATGTTCAATGATCTGTTTTCAAAAAAGGGATTTTTATTTCTAAAAACAAACCATAATATAATTATAATTCATAATCATAATTCAAACAAGAATCAGATATTGGTTAATTGCTAATACCTAAAGCTGATAAATAAGCAAACAATAAACAAACAAATAACAAAACATGAATTAGCAATTGAGAAACAACGAAATTTATTGTATTCTATTTTAACATCGTTAGATCAGATGCTAGTAACAAAACATGAACACGGTAATAATTCGATATGTCTTCTATGTTAGAGAAATTTAGGTGTAAAAAAAAATATATACATTTACATGTCCATGCTGAACAGAGAACCTCAGTGATAACAAAGGGACTCTGTGACTTTTCAGAAATTCGGGCTCTGCTCCGTACAGTAGCCCTGTGGGGGCTTTCTGGTCATGGTCTCAAGCATATGTCCTTATATATCAAAATGGCCATTACCAAACATAGGAGCAATATCAGTAACTAGCGAGGGGTGCTATGTCAATTGCACTCGGATCCATATCTTGGACACACCTATCCACCACTTGCCATTGGAAGCTCTGCTCGGTTTTTGGCCTTTTGTAGTCTCAGGCATCCAGCCTGTGATCTGGGCAGGTGGCTGCAGCTGGCCCTGGGCTGCACGTCAGTGCTGGTTGGGTTGTCCACAGGCAGTGCAGGACGTGGCCATGACCTGTGGCTACTAAGGGCTACATGGTCTGACAAGAGCCACCACAGAGGAGACAAAACCCTTGGGGAGGCAGCCTGGGAGATGTTTTTAGCCATCAAGTCATCATTTTACATTAACCGTAGAAAAAATCTGCTGGGCTTGAAAAATACTTCTATCATAAAAATTTCCAAAAACATCCAAAGGTAGGAGGTACAACGAACCCCCTGCTTCAAGCCTGGCACTCACTCTGTGCACTTTTCTAGTATTTTAAAGCAAATTCCCAATGTTTCATTTCATTCCTAAATACTTCAAGTTAACATCTTTTTTATTTTTTAAGAAGGGACATTGGCTTATATAACCTAATGCCGCTGCCAACTTCACAAAATCAACAGATCCCTTAATATTTATTTAAAGCTCATTCTTCCTATTCAAATGTCCCTGATTGTCCAATACATGTCTTTTCTCAGTTGGTCTATAAGTCGAATGACTCATCTGCCTTATAATATTTCCATATCACAGCACTATCATTGCTTTTTCCAGTAGACGGTCAAGTGAGGTGCCACAGCATTTCCTTGGCAAGATCCTTCACATTTCAAAATGTGAGAAAGTTGTGAAGAGAGCAAGGGCCATTCAGAATATAGGTGTGGGTCCAAAGAAATCACACTGTGCATTCTACTTTTGTCTTTTCTGGAAGAAGTGCGACCAATCCATTCTTGGTGGTATTTTCACTGACGTTTCTTTGCTTGTCATGAGCCATCTTTATTCTGGGCAGGGAGAAGCATAGAATAAGCTCTGAGTGGAAAAGTGAGAGCTTCGTGGATGGAAGGGCTCTTGGGTCTCTGTCACTGCCCTGAGAAGGAGGGGCCTGCTAGTCCCAGAAGGAGGATGAAATGGAGAGGCAGAGCTGCCCCCAGGGAGTTGCCCCCAGACCAGACCAGCCCATCTGGAGCAGAGCCCCCCCCAACCTGCGGACACACTCAAGCCCAGCCCGGATCAGCCAAGCCACAGACAAGGAACCCACTTGCAAAGAAGTGTTCAGTGGGTAGATTCAGTGGGTAGAATGACCACCTTCATTCTAAAATAGAAAGCATGGCTGAACTTCATCTGGAGGAACAGACTGACCTCCTTGGTCACCACCATGTGGTTTTGCAGCCATAGGTTAGGTGAGAGGAGGGACTTTAGCCATTCAACAGGTCCCCTCCACATACAAAGTGATGATGTATTTAATAAAAGGAGAATTTGGCAGCATTGTATATGGCCTCCTGCATGATTTACCTCCAAATGCTTCATCAGGCTCCCGGACAGTCACCACCAAGTTTAATACACCCGAAGCTATTATTACATATACAAATGGAGGGGCAGGGGCAGCAGGAGCTGCCCCAGAGTCCTGAAATGGGCCCAGGGGGTGCCCCACTCCTGCCAGGGCAGCAAGAACCTCAGCAGACCCATTCCCACTGCTCCGTCCCCACAGTCTACAAGGACGTTCTGAAATGGTGGAGAGATGAAGCAGGAAGGCTCCTACCTCTTCTCTGTCTCCTGGATGGTGTTCAGCAATGGCTGGTTATTCGTCTCCATCAGGAAGGAGCCTGCTGCAGCCGCCAGGATAGGGGCCAGGCCAAATATCACAGGCTGTAGCAGTGGGCTATGATTGCCTAGGATGTAGACCAGGGGGGACAAGAGGGAGCCCAGGCGTGTGCTGAAGATTCCGGCACTCATCCCTATCTGCCTGTGGTGAGAGAGACCATAGGAAGGGTTTGGGACCCTGCATGTGCACTGCCCTAATTCAAGCACCTGCAACAAGTCTAATAGGATTTGGTGAATGAATGAATGAACCAGGCGCTGAGCCTCAGGGCCAGTGCACGAGAGATAAGAAGGCTGTGTGGCAAAGGGCCAGATCTTGGTATGGGTCATGTGGGGGCACATCATGGGGAAGGGAACATTCATCTCAGATGTGGTCCTGCAGGATACTTATTGGGAACCATAACAATGATGGAAAAACTGACAGCTAATACTTACTGAGCACGTGTTTTGTGCTAGGCACTGTTCCAGTACTCGACGTCCTCAACTCAGCGATTTCCTACGGCTATCTAAGATATTTACACTTTTCTGAAGCTATAGAAATGAGACCATTTATGGAGTGCCTGTCAAGCTCCAGTCACGATCCAAGAGCAATGTCCTATGATAACCAAAATCACGATAAAATAGTGACACGAACCTGCTCCTTTGAGATGTGACACCACAAAACCATTTCCATATGGAAGCTGCTTTCCTTAGTGGCCCAGCCCTGAGGGACAGAGGCTGCCTTCTTGGTCCCAGAGACTCTGATCCATCTTCTTACCTGACTTCTGTTGGGAAGAGCTCCATGGTGTATAGGTAGAGACAACTAAAACAGCCAGCCAGGCTCCCTTTTCCAAATAAACAGAGGATCATCTGAAAGGTATTCATGTCTGAGAGAAGGTGGTGGGTGGGGTGTAGACAAAAGGGAATTAATTAAATGTCAATGCAATCACCTGTTCTGACATCTCAATGTGTCAAGCACCTCTCTGCCTCAGGGCCTTTGCACTCGCTGTTCTCGCTCCTCAGCGTGCTCCCCTCCCCACTATTCACCTACTTATTTCTCATTCTTCTTCAGATCTCAACTCAAATGCTACTTTGGCAAACCCTGTTCACTGGATCAAGCCCACTGTATATTTCCTGACTCCCTGGACATCTCCTCTGAGGCACTGATCCCAACAGCAATTGACATGAAGCGATTGGTTACCGTCTGTCTCCCTGAAGGCCTCTAGGCTCCATGAGCCTGGGTCTGCTCTGAGCCCAGGGTAGGCAGGTGCTCAAGAAATAGCTGTGAAATAACTAACAACCAAAGTTGATATTTTCAGATGAGGAAGGGGGAGTTGGGGAGTGAGGGATGCTGAGATTAGCCCTGTCTTGGGGAGTCGGGGAAGTGACTGTCCCATGGACACAGTGTTCTCATCAGTGAAATGATAGATGAGGCAGTCTTCAACACACCTCCCACTTGCAGAATTCTAGATTTCTGTGATTCCTACAACCATCTCAAATTAGTATCCCTTGCTACTAGATCTCAGAAGACTGAATTTATACCTTTATAAACTTACCTATATGATGATAACTAAAATTTATTCAATGTTTACCATGAGTCGGGCACTGGGATAAGAACTTTTACACATGATCTTTTATTATTTTTTAAAAAATTATTTCAGGGGCGCCTGGGTGGCTCAGTCGTTAAGTGCCAGCCTTCGGCTCAGGTCATGGTCCCAGGGTCCTGGGATCGAGCCCCGCATCGGGCTCCCTGCTCGGTGGGAAGCCTGCTTCTCCCTCTCCCACTCCCCCTGCTTGTGTTCCTTATTTCACTGTGTGTCTCTCTGTCAAATAAATAAAATCTTAAAAAAAAATTATTTCAAACATATGGAAAACTATAGAGATTGATATGACAAAAACACCCATGAAGCCATCATATTGTTTTCTCCAATGTTAACACCTATTAGCTGTGTGACCTTGGACAAGTCACTTCACCTCTCTGTGCTTTATTTATTTATGCTTCAGTTATAAAAGCACTTCATGGAGTCCTCGTGATGGTCAGATGAGTTGATACATGTGAAGTGCTAGCACAGGGCTTGGCATGCTGTCAACCCCCAATAACGGCCTCTTAATTATTCTTCCTAAGTAACTGTGAGGGTCAGCAGAGGGTAAGTGGGTCAACTTGTCCATGATCACAGGAGACCACTTGAAAACAGGTTCATCTGGTTCTCTAGTCTGCTCTGAATCATTAAACTGGACCATGTTGTCCATCATATCAGAAGAGAATTTTCACGAGACCCAGAAGAAAACCTCACCTTGAGGAAGAAATGCAGTGATAAGGATCATGCAACCAGCCACCAGCAGCAGGGAGACGGTGGTGATTCGGCGGCCAAAGTAGGCCATACTCAGGCCTGTCAGCAGCTTTGTGGGGATATCCACCACTGTAAACAGCACTTGTGTCCAGTAGATGTTGAACCCAAATTTCTGCACATCTAAACCCAGCCCATAGAAAGAAAAGCCTGTGGAAAACCTGGAAGAGAGAAAGTGCCAGTAATTTATTTCATACCCTAGAGGTGGCCCATGGTTTGCCTTTCTTTCCAATGGAAGGAGTCTTTCCAACCTTTTGGCCATGGATGCGATGTGATCCTATTCTAAAACTAAATCCTCTCAGGTTCCAGACTTTGCCAGGTTTTCCCATCTTCTCAGATTGCTTAGCCATGATCTGTTGCCTGCATCTCTGTCTCAAGCCAGTGGGGCACCAGGGAATGACAACTCAGGAACAGGTGTCAGGTGAATGACCAGGGGGTCACTCTCTGGGGCCCCACTCACCATCCCAGGGTGATACAGCAAGTCAACCTGCAGAGTCCCGGAGTGCGGAAGAGATCTAGGAAGAATGGGGACTCCTTCACAGCAGCTGTGTCCTCCTGCATGTGGATCCTTACAACCTAGCAGGAAAAGACCAGAGTGGGGATGCCAGAAGAAAGGGCTCTGGCCCTTAGTCCTTCCACTTTCTGATGCCACAGAGTTACTTGATTCCTCCCACATTGGCCGATTCCTTCACACACACCTCCAAAAAGAAATAGAGGACTTCAAATTTTGGGTGTGTATTCTCTTTTGGAGCAACTTCTCCTTTTCTTTTAACTAGTTTTTCTTGATGGTCAACAATGACCCTCATTTATTGAGCACTTGTTATTTGCCGGATGGGGGTCTAAGTACTTGATGTGAACTAACTTATTGAATGTAAAGGAGATTCTATTATCCTTTTTACAGATGAGGAAACTGAAGCTCAGAAGGTTAAATAACTTGCCTAAGATCACAGAGCTGTAAGTAGAGAGCTGGGAGTCACCCAGGTGAATGGTCCCCAATCTGGGATCTTAGCCATTGTTATTTTGTTTCTTCATGTTCATAGTTAGAAAGGTCCCTGCCTCTCCTTTCTCTAGTACCACTCCCAATTCCTACTCTCCAGAAGCAACTGCTTTCTACTCTTCTAGGTGTTTCTTCTCATATTTATCTCCTATTTCCAGATAAAATGCTACAATGCTATGGCTTGATTTTCCAACTTTAGATTGATTTATACTAAGAAAGAATGAGGATTTAACCCTCTTACTCTACCACCTCTGATCTGTACTTTCCCTTCTGTAATTCTCCCAATGTAAGTCTCATTCAGAGTTGAACCATGTAGTGTACTCTGATTATATTTCTTTCCATGACATGAGTTTTTTATTTTCCTGGAGTTAATAATTGCCTCTTTTGTGTATTTGCTTGCTTATATTCTTGATTTCTTAAGTACTTGGCACTAATTTATCCCCAAATTCTTTGATAGAACCATAAAACTCCTGTTAATAAGATAAAGTATAACATGGGCACTTGGGTGGCTCAGTTGGTTAAGCAACTGCCTTCGGCTTAGGTCATGATCCCGGGGTCCTGGGATCGAGTCCCACATTGGGCTTCCTGCTCAGCGGGAAGCCTCCTTCTCCCTCTCCCTCGGCCTCCCACTCCCCCTGCTTGTGCTCTCTCTCATTGTCAAATAAATAAATAAAATCTTTTTTAAAAATGACCTTTAAAAAAAAAAAGCATAACAAGCAATCTCTCAGCATCATTTTTTTTTTTCTTCATGAAAGGCCTCCAGTATATGGTATTCTTTTGCTTCAGTATACACTGATTGTTCTCTAGGTTTCTGTACAACTCTTTCCCTTCTTCTTTACCTTTCTCCTATTTTGGATCTTCTATTTCCTGGATTCCCTGGTTGACATTCTCGTTTTGGTGGAATGTACCCTGTGGTAGCTTCTGAGAAAGGGTGTAACAGGACACTTTTCCCACAGGTCCTCTGGCTATCTGATGGTGGCAGCTACTACTTCTGGATGTAGAAACTTACCTCTTTGTTCACCCTTGGCAGCCAACTTAAGCCCTCACTGAGAATTACCACCAGGTCAGGAGGAAGGGTTCAGGTAGCGTGTGGGTTCCCTTTGTGCGTACCTCTGGAGTGAGTTTCCTTCCCTGCTCCTTTTTGCCATTTAATCTTGCCACAGCCTGCAGATTTTTCACAGCCTTGTCAGGTTTGTTGTGAGTGATGAGCCAGCAAGCGGATTCTGGCAGGCCCCTAGGAGTGCGAGGGAATGGGGTGAGGGAGGGAATGATCTGGAGGCATGATCGGACAAGGCAGAGCCTCCTGCCCACCCCTGACCCCGATCAGCTGGAGGTGCCAAGGGATCTCCACCCACAGTACCCACACAGGCACTGGGCTCGCTGTCCCAGTCACCATGTGTCAAGGGCTGGCCCACCTGAAAACAGGGAGATCCAAGGGAAAATCCAAAAAAGCAAAACGGGAGGAATAAGGAGAGCAACTGTGAATGGGCTGGTGGTTGTTTCCCCCATTTTCCTTTTTGTCAGATCGCAAGATACAGACGTAAGCACGTGTTTGTTTTTGCAAAACGATCTCCAAGTTGTACACATCTTCTGTTACTCACATTTCTCATTTCATGCTACACTCTCAAAATCTCTCATGGCACTAGTATGGATCTTCACTGTCATTTTTTTTTTTTAAAGATTTTATTTATTTATTTGACAGAGAGAGACACAGCGAGAGAGGGAACACAAGCAGGGGGAGTGGGAGAGGGAGAAGCAGGCTCCCCGCAGAGCAGGGAGCCCGATGTGGGACTCGATCCCAGGACCCTGGGATCATGACCTGAGCCGAAGGCAGTCGCTTAACCAACTGAGCCACCCAGGCGCCCTTCACTGTCATTTTTATGAGAGTTCTTACTTTCATTGCGGCTCTGGATTTGTATGGTAAATCTCATCTCATTGGCTGAGTGGAGTGGCCAGAAATCTTCAAGTCTGACCCCATGAGGTATTTCATGGGAGCCTGGGGCTTCTGAGGGGCCTTGTAGTCACTCAGGACTGAATTTGGTATGGGGTCAAGTGTGCAGCCGCTTAGAACCCCAAATGGTGCAGGACTACTCACCAAGGACAATATGGAGAAAAAAATCAAATGAAGACACCTCGTCGTATACCAAGGGTCCTCTCTTCTCTCCTTAAGGAGGTCAGATCTCAGCAGACCCAAGCCAAAGTAAGCTCTCAGGTCAGCAAACACTTCCCAGGAAGACAGACCAGACAAGGCAACTCTGCACAGTACGTCTGGGAGACGACGTACCAGGAGTAGAGAAGAATAATCACGTAGGCGACAGAAACGGTACCCTGTAGCCAGCGCCACTGGTGGATGAGGTAGGCCAGGCCCGTGAGGACCACCTGGCCCAGCGTGATCATATACATGGTGTAGATATTGACCAGCATCCGACTCTGCGTTGGGGTCCACTCCATGGCTGGGGATGACAAGTTCGGCATTGCTGGTAATGAGCTCCACAGGGCCTGGGTCGGCCAGTGACAGGGACCCCAGGCGATGCCCCTGCGGAACTTTCCCCTGACGATCCCAGTTGATGGGTGGGCTCTGACCCTGCTCAGTGCCACCCAGGACACACTGTCCCAAGCAACTTCTGCCATCTCATTTGATCTTCATAACACCCCATATGCAGGGGCATCTGTGATGATTTCCCCTTCACAGGCAAGGACTATGTCACTGGAATCTGAGCCTGGGGTGCTTAAGCCACCACCTTAAAAATAGCTAACATTTCTTGAGGTCTTCGTGGGTGCCATGTATCATTCTATAAATATGTATGAGATGAGGAAGGTACTATCTTTATCACCCCGTATTACAGATGGGGAAACTGAGGCCTGTATTACAGATGGGGAAACTGAGGCCCGGACAGGTTACCTGAAGTGCCCCCCCCAGGTCGCACAGCAGCTAGTGGGGGAGCCAGGGCTCCGCAGGGGTACTCACCGAGGCAGAGGCTGGTGATAATGATGCCGGTCATTGCCACCCCACTGAGGAAGCGGAGCACGCAGTAGGCGGGGAAGCTGGGCGCGAAAGCAGCGCTGGTGCCCATGATGATCATCAGCAGGGTCCCGCTCTGCAGCGCCGTCTTGCGCCCACAGCTGCAACCAGGATAGACAGGGCGGCCAGTCTATCCGGGGTCCGGCTGCAAAGGCGACTGGAGGCCACTCTGCCTCTGCTTTCGCTCCAGTCTGCTCCCCTCCACCTGTCAGCCCCCCACTTCACTGCATCCTTAGACAAGGGCTTGGGAAGCCGCCTTCACAATGTGCTTGAGGGTCCTGGGAAGGTATCCCTGACCTCCTCTTGACACCCTCCCAATCGAAGAAAAAGGCCTTGGGAAGGGACTCCCTCCTTGCCCCGGCCCCTCCCCACACGAGTTGCCAAGGCCTAGAATTCCCCTATGGGAGGGCGGTCAATTCTTTGCCTCTTGGCTCTGTTCCTTGTTAAAGTATAGCTGTCTCCGGATGGGGCTGTAATTGGCATCTGAGTGTGGCTTCTGGTCCCTGCCCCATGGGGGAGGGAGTGTGAGCAATGGCTCGAATGTTCCAAACGACCCTTGACCCCACTCTCATTCTCTTCTACCTCCTCTTAGACCCCTGTGTGCCAGGCAGGTGCCAAGGGCTGAGGACTCCACCAGGAGCTCACTTGCCCCTCCCCACGGGACCCCCCTACCCATACCCACAGCCCTGGCCTGGGGCACTGTGCGAGAGCTGTGGTCAGGGAGAAATCAGACAATAAGTAAGATAAATGGGTAAAATACATAGACCGTCAGAGGCCACAGAACAAACCGGAGCAGAGCAGGGGGACACGGAATGTCAGAGGGGCTGCAGTTGTAAATAAGGTGGCCAGAGAAGGTCCTCTGGGCCGGTGACACAACGAAGCACCACAGACATAGCACTGAGGTGTGCTGGGGCTCCTCCCAAGTCATCTCAGGTCAATAGCGTCATTATCCCCATTTTACAGATGAGAAGACAGAGGCTCAAGCTGAAATGACTTGCCCCACACCCACAGCCGGTGAGAAATCCACATCACTGTACTTCGAGGCTGTGAGAAGTGACCTGAAGAGGTGTCCTGGGCATAATGCCCCTGGTGGGGGCAACAGCCAGTGCAAGGGCAGGAGGAAGAAGGGGGGGTGGGGCTGGGTTCACGGCAGTGGATCTGGGGCCAGCCCAGGCAGGGCCAGCAGGCCATGTGCCCATTAGGCTTCACTGGCTAAGAACCGGAGAGCTGGTGGAAGGTTGAGCAGAGGAGGGCCAGGATCTGTTCTGTATCTAACAAGATCACTCTTCCCATCGATTTGAGAGTAACAGAAGGCAAAGATCAAGGATAGGAAGAAGCAGGGAGGCTCCCTCAAAGGCTGTTTCAGCCAGCCAGGTGCAAGATGAATGAGTGGTAGCCTAGCGGGTGGTGAGAGGAGGAGGTGGGTCCTGGTCTATGTTGATGACAGAGCCAACAGGGTTTGCTGGTATACTGGAGAAGAGGGGAGAGTGGGGGAGGTAGGGGGGAAGGGAGGGGGAGTCGAGGGGATGTCTCAAAAGAGATCAGGCAAACAGTGGAGAAGAGGTGGCGTTTACACACTCTGGAGGTCATTCCACCTCCTACCAGGGCTCTTTCCAGAGGTGGGTGCCTGGAGGTAGACTGGAGCTCTACCTCGGATGCCCCGTGGCTCTCAGCTATCTGAATACAAGATACTATTTGGCCAGGCTGCAGGCCCCTTGTTACTGGGGGACTGGCATTTAAAGCAAGAGCTCCCTGCCAGCCCCATGGAGATGACTTAGTTCCCTCCTTTCACCTCTGGGTCGGGTGGGGGTGAGGACAGAGTCTGGGGCCCTCCAGATGGCCTCCTTTCCGATGAGCAAGGCCTTTGCGTCACCAGTCCCTCCTGCCCAGAGCTCAAGGCTGGGTTTCCCAGCAAAGGGGCCAGAGGCTGAGTGTTCCTGGAGCCCAGCCAGGGGAGACAGGGGCAACTGGGGCCACTGGGTGACTGGGAGAGCCCCTCAATTGTACAGAAATGATCCCAAGAGCTAAGTGAATTTTCTAAGGTTCCATAGAGGGGCAGATCCCAGCTCCGCTGATGTCCACTTGAAATCCTCTTTCTGCTGCACCGGACGGATGCATCCTACAGGCTGGCAAAAACCAAGAGAGGTAAAAGACCAGAAGACACCGTACCCAGGGTTGGCTTTCTCAGAAATGTGCCTTGGCTTGTTTAGCTTTAACCAGGACTATCTGTCTAGGTGTGGCATCGAGCACAGAGCTTCTTCCTCACGGGAACATCATCGTCACTTCCAAGAACAGGGACTAAATGTCCATGCTGGAATCAGTTTTCCGTAGGACCAGTGGTGCTAAGCCTCATTTCATCTGTGAAATGGGAGCAGCTACCCAGGGCTACTGGGAGGATGTGGGAGAGCGCTCGGTAGAATTAGCCGTTCACAACAATAATGACCATCACAGGGGCTCCTTCTTCCTGGGGAAGCGACCTGTGGGGGCAACCCTGCGGGGAAATCACCGTTGGCAGAAATGAGACCACGGACCCAGCTTCACCGCCATTCACATGATGAAGGCGTTCTGCCACGTGACTCAAAATTCATCCCCAAGCAGAAAGTAATTCGAGATTCATGATTGCAGTTCATTGCAGAACAAAACAGGGAGGCATCATCACCTCAGCCACATCGGATGCATGACCAGGGACTGTCTCCTAGAAAAGTGGGGTGTCCAGGACCCGGGCAGGGAGGGGCGAGCGCTCTACCCCGGCCCCTCCTTTTGAGGTCTCGGGTGCGGCCCTGGCTGTCTGGCAGGGAGAAGGACATGGGGGGGGGGTCTTCTCACGTGGGGTCCTGAGCCTTTGAAGACAGTGTGGGGATAGCATGAACTCTAGCCTCGTAGGAAGCTTCTGGAGACTTCCTCGGGCCTCCTCCCCTCACCTGTCAGAGAGGATGCCAAAGGCAGTAGCTCCAACCAGCTGTCCCGTCATGTATATGGACTGGGCAATGGACTTCAGTGACTTGTGCTCGCACACCAGGTCCCACTGGAGAAAAAGAGACATAAGTGTCAGCAGGTGGCTCATGCATCCTCACCATGTGGCTTCCATAGAATATTAAGAGCTGCCTCGTCACCTCTTACACGCTAACACGGTCCCACAGCTTGCCCTTAAGCACATAACGCTGCCATCCTCAGCCCTGGCCCTTTTATTTTGAATGGCACGAACCTCTATATCAATGTCAAGCACATTATCCCAGATGTTTTATAAAACACATGGTCCTGAGTCTTAGGAAACCTCTACCCTAAGAGAAAGATGACCAACATGAATCTAGACCCAGTTTACTTGAAATGCTTCATTTTTTCCTGCTTTTTGTTCTCATTTCATTCAGCAGTCTGAGAAATTTGGGGGAAAACAAGAAAACAGGGGCATCGGGCTCCCTGCTCAGTGGGGAGTCTCCTTCTCCCTCTCCCTCTACCCCTCCCCCCGCTTGTGCTCTCTCTCTCTCTCTCTCTCTCAAATAAATAAAATATTTTTTAAAATTTACTTAAAAAAAAAAGAATGGACATATACTCTGTGGCATATTCGTGCAACGGAATGCTCTGAGGAACTGAGAAAGAACCAACTCCCAAAGCATATATCAACATGGATGACTCTTAAAAATCTATATTGAATGAAAAAAATCCCAACACACTAAAGAACACATACTCTATGATTCCATTCATATGAAATTCAAGCATAAGCGGTACCAAGTGATGGTGATAGAGGTCTGATTGGTGGTTATACTGCGGTGGGCGGGGGGTAGTAGTGATGCAGAAGATTACAAGGGAACCTTCTGGGGTCTTTAGAAATAACCTGTAACGGGCGCCTGGGTGGCTCAGTTGGTTAGGCGACTGCCTTCGGCTCAGGTCATGATCCTGGAGTCCCGGGATCGAGTCCCGCATCGGGCTCCCTGCTCGGCGGGGAGTCTGCTTCTCCCTCTGACCCTCCCCCCTCTCATGTGCTCTCTCTCATTCTCTCTCTCTCAAATAAATAAATAAAATCTTTAAAAAAAAAAAATGAAATAACCTGTACCTTGACCTGGTGTTTACATATGTAAAATTTATCCAGCTGCACATTTAAATTTTGAGCATTTAATGGAATAAGTTATGTCTCCGTTAAAATAAAACAAACAAACAAAATCATCTGAAGACCCAGCGTTCAGCTGTAGCTTTACCTCACCTCAGAAACGATTGAGGAGGCAACAGTCTGGTCATACACCCACCCATCCAGGCAGGCCTCAGTGTCCAAGCTCAAAGACGAGGTGCCATTGTGGTTTAAGATCTGCCAGTGGGGCTCAGAGAACCTCAGGCACTGCTCAGGCTTCTGGTCCTTGTCCAGTGGGATGAAGACTTGCAGCAAGTCCCCGTCCCCGACACCACCCGGGACATGGGACCCGTTGGTCCAGTTGGCTGGCCGGCAGTGATGTTTTGGGGTCGTGGCAGTGAAGTTCTGCAGGAAGCTGTGACAGGCGATCAGGATGGCAGGGAACATCATGAGAACAGTTTGAAGGATTTGGAAGTTCCCCATACCACCGATGGTGTGGAGCAACTCGGAGAACCCCATGGTGCGCTTTCCACTATAGCTGTTGACAGAAGCATATCCACACACCTACGCGCGGGCTATTTTATAGACTCTCTTGCCTCCTTCTAGTGGGTTCTTGGGAAAGAGCTTCTGGGCATTTGTCCGGAACCATAGTATCATCACATTTTATTTGCTCTCCGTGAGGAAATAAGGTGTTTCTACATAAGAATATTTCTTCAAGGAATAAACTTCTTGTGACCATTTAAATGGAAGCCTTCCAGACAAGTTCCCTGTGTCTTAATTGCATAAGTCCGTTGTCAATATTTACCGAAGACCTGCAGACTGGTTATCCTTCCCAGGCTCACGAGCATCTTTACGTTCCCAAAAATGGTGTGAAAATGTTGCAATTTCTCCACATCCTCGCCCACACCTGTTATTTTGTTTTGTTGATAGTAGCCATCGAATGCGTGTCCGGTGGTGTCTCCTTGTAGTTTCCATATGCATTTCCCTAATGATCAGTGATGTTGAGCATCTTTTCATGTGCTTATTTATTGGTCATTTGTCTGTCTTTGGAAAATGTCTATTCAAGTCCTTTGCCTATTTTTGAATCGTGTTGTCTTTGTTGGGGAGTTTTAGGTGTCCTCTCTATATTCTGGATATCCATCCCTCCTCAGATATATGAACTGCAAATATTTTCTCCCATTCTGTGGGCTACCATGGACCAACTCCACTTTCCTCGTCTTAGAAACCCTCAGACTAGAGTAGGCACAGCTGCCCCTCTGTGGGCTGCCCAGGCCTACACAGCCCAGCCCCCAGCCAAGACAGCAAACAGGTCGTTGAATAAATAACGCAGCAAGAGAGGCTGGCAGCCACACACCTCACCTTGACCAGCCCGCAGGAAGTGCAGGGCAATGTGATTGCCCATTGCCACTGTGCTGGAGGGTTTAGAGCAACCAGTCTCTGACAAACATAAAAACCCATCCAACAATAACAAGAGGGAACCAAAGGGACCGAGCCATGTCCAGAAAGTTCATCTTGTTCGGTCCTCTTCAGTGGAGGCTGCTCCCTCTTGGATTCAGTAGTTGTTGGCAGGTGTCTGATTAAGACTCTTCATTAGGGACACCTGGGTGGCTCAGTTGGTTGAGCATCCGATCTTGATTTCGGCTCAGGTCATGATCTCAGGGTCGTGAGATCGAGCCCTGCATCGGGCTCCGTGCTGGGCGTGCAGCTTGCTTAAGATTCTCACTCCCTCTCCCTCTGCCCCTCCCCCGGCTCCCCACAAAAGACTCTTTATCAGTCAGTGGTCGAGTTGAGGGTGGCAGCAAATGGCTGGGTTAAACTGGCCAGATGCCCCATGAATAAGAGCCGAGAGAAAGAGATTAGTGTCCCTTTCTGTGCTCTGACCTCCCAGGGGTAAAGTGTTCCCGTCCTCCCACAGCCCTGCCACCCCCATGCCTGGTCCCTCAACAATCACTTCGCCCTTTTCCAGTCTTCTCCATGTCTTACCCGCACCATTTGCACAGGCTTGTCCCCAGGGTGCTCAGTGGTTTCCTCCTTCTGTCCCTTGTACCATCCTAAATCATCTCCCACCGCCCGCCTTGTGGGCCATGCCCGGTCACCTTAGGAGTCTCCACCTCTTGTTCATGATCGCTAGCATCAATATCAACACTATTGATTGCCCAAACCAGGGAGCATAGTGGCTGCAAAAGAAACACCAGGTGAGAGTCCCCCATCCCCACCCCCTTTTTGTGCTCCTTGCAAATGCTAGTAGCCCGGGTGCCCAGGGCTGGGCATGCGAAGGGAAAAGTAGAGGGTGACAGGTTCATTATGTGGTTTGGCCTCTTAGAGCCGGTCTGGGCCTCCTCACCCCTCTCCAACTTCATAATCAAGCACTCCGTTAAAGCTAGGGAACTCTTTGCGGGGGACCACTGAATTTAGACCTCAGACTGGCAGGGTGTGCTGCACTGGGCGCAGGACCCCGGACAACCAGTTGTCTTTTCCAGGGTCTCTTTTAAAGTCCATCTTTTGGTGGCACCTGCTGCCTGGCAGCCCAGGCCAGATCAGCATGTTGAGCCTGCTCAGGTTGCATGTGAGTCATGGAGACGGGGTTGTGGACCTGGTGACATCTTCCAGTCCTCCCGCTGCCAGGCACCAGGCTGTCTCCCCCTGGGTCAGTGAAAATGTAACCAGGTGCATTGTGGGGGCTGCTTTCGGGGGCGAGCACCACAGCCCACAGCTCTGCCCAGGGAGCCGAGTTCCTCTTCCAGGTACGATTGTCAGCAGCAGTGGCCAGGACCCCACCAGCCCTTACCTTAGCTGATCTGCCCTCACCTGACCTTTCCTGATCTTGCCCTGCCCAGGCAATCCTTGATGCTCGGATCCTGGGCACCTCGCAAGCCATCTCTCTGCAGCCACAACTTAGAGATGCCCAGAAGACTGTCGTCCAAGGCTCTTGAAAACCTAGTGCCCTGGCTGGTCAGTGCCTTCGGAGGTAAATGCAGAGAAGTCTGGAAGCTATTTGCCAGTTACAGTAAAGGTGATCATAGGGGACCAAAGGCAAATGGAATCCTGTTTAAACCGTTCACTCTTGTATCATCATCGAGAACATCAAGAACTTGTCTTCACTTAGTTTCTGGCCAGTATTTTTGGTTTTTGGTTGTATCCCATGGACTGTGATCTGTCCTCACGATTATTCTTACTTCTCATGGGAAACTTCCTTGTCAGGGTGTTTGTTAGAGGAAATCGGGTTTGTTCACTTAAACATATGTATTACCTTTGTCTTGCCCAATTCATGGTAACTACTCCACCAACTAGGTGTTCAGAGTGTGGCCATAATTAACCCTAGCAACTGGGTTAAGTTCTGCACATTTTCTTGCTGGTTAGGAAAACTATTTCTAGACCAGTCGTCCTCAACCCCAAATAATGACATCAGCATCCCTGGGAGTGGGCCCGACCCAGCACTGGTATTTTTTAAAAGCACACAAGCGATTCCAGGATTGAGAATCGCGATTTTAAATTTTCTTCAAAAATACAAATTACAGATGTTTATAACAGATTTGTTTTTAAAACTGTTAAAGAAAGAACTTTCCCCAAATAGAGTCACTTGTGCTAAGCCCCACATCAGCAAACCAAGACTTATTACCTAACCGAATTGCCGTTTTTTTTTTTTAAAGATTTTATTTATTTATTTGAGACAGAGAGAATGAGAGAGA